ATGATCCCGTTGGTGGAACTCAAATTTGTAAAAATTGGGGTTCAGGAGGACAATTTAAGGTCTGCGAAATTGCATGCAAATCGGGATTAAAATTTTCTCAGGATATTCCAGCTTTTTATACGTGTGGGGCTGAAGGATTTTGGAGACCGACTACAAATCCAAGTTTACCATTAGTATATCCTGCGTGTTCAGGTAAAACAATAATTTTTACGTTATTAGTTTTTGCATTAAAAATTTTTGATTTTTACCAAGTATTATTAGGTTCATATTGAAAATTGTAATTTTTCATTTTGCAGCTGCAAAACCGGCTCAAAGAGTTTTCAAAATCAATATGCTTTTCCCAAGTTCTGTACTTTGTAACGAAGCAGGTCAAGGCGTCCTTAGGCAAAAAGTACGGAAAGCCGTCAATTCCTTAAACAGTGATTGGAATTTCTGTTCTTACTCTGCAGAAGTTACAAAAGAATGTAGAGACCTTGATATTGTTGTTAAATGTGATCATCGTTTGAGAAATGGCCGGGTATTGGATGACAGTAAAGGTTCCCACGAATCAAATGACGTCTTATCCGTAGAAAGGTTCATACTGTTTATACATTTTTACTTTTATATATAAATAATTTATTAACTATAGTTGAATTTGCATAATTCACGCAACTAGAGTACTTTTTAATTTTTCGAATTTATATTTTCAAAAATTAAACATTTACGCTAATGATTTGTTATTAATTAAATTTATTTTTCATTTCAGGCTTAGTCGTCAAGTAAGACAAGCAAGTGATACATACAGCGTAGAAATTTCTTTCCCTGCTGCCAGGTAAGTAGAGTTTAAATTTAAAATTTAGATTTTAAATTAAAAAAAAAAAAAATTTTAATTTAATAAATTTTAATTTTCAGTGATCCAGTAATTAATACAAATTCTAACGAACGAGCCAACGTACAAAGATTGCTAGAAAAACTTATTCTCGAAGAGGATCAGTTTGATGTTCATGATATTCTTCCAAATACTGTTCTTGATCCATCGTCACTGAAGCTTGAATCCGATTATGCCTGTCCAGTTGGCCAAGTAGTGATCGCTCCCGATTGCGTCCCATGTGCTGTAGGCAGTTATTATGATCAAAACACTAAAACGTGTTTACCTTGCCCAATCGGAACATATCAAAGTGAATCCGGGCAAACACAGTGTTCTACTTGTCCCATCATTGCCGGACGACCTGGGGTTACAGTTTCTCCGGGTGCACGTAGCGCGGCTGAC